GAACACTGGGGACATTATGATGAGTGAGACATGGTTCTTGCACTCAAAGAGTCTGAAGACTTGGTGATGGTGAGTATGCAAACGTGTCGTTAGATGCACATGACCCGTGCAATGATAGAACCCCATACAAGGGATAGACATGGTGTAGACGGAAGCGAGGGTGATTAAAAGTGATGTCTGGCAGGGTTTCAGAGGATAAATAGGAGTTTGTCAGACAGACAAGGACATTTAAGGCAGATAAGGACACTCTAGGCAGAAGGAATAACATGGGTAAAGACATAGCAGAGTAAAATTGCGTGACGTAATTGATCATCTGAAGGAGCATCAAGTTAGTGACAAGAAATGAGAGTGAAGAGTCAGTCAGATTGAGTCAAGAAGAACCTCGTGGGCATTCAACGGAGTCTGGCCTCAAGTTTGTGGGTCAGAAGTTCTCAGCTGTGGTTTTGGGACCTATTGGCTTGTTACAACCTACTCGGTACTGGGGCAGTGGGAGAGAAAGGGGTTGCCTTACTGCCAGGGGAAGAAGAATGGAGCATGAGACAGAGTCTGTTCTGTGCTTTATCCTCTAAGCTATCCGGTCTGCCTGTGTGAGATCTTATCATGGAAATGTCAATTTTCAGGTATTTTATGGCTGAAATAGTTGTGATAGTTGAGGAGGAGCCAGTAAAGGGCTTTAAATCGGAGAGTGACGTGGTCAGATCCGTGTTTTCGAGGCAGCACTAGGCCAGATTGGACGGCCCGTCCTGGAGGCAGGAAGACATCTCAGGGGATCATTGCACAGGTGCGGGCCAAAGGCCATCACGGCTCGCCCCTCGGTTCAAGTGCTTAGAGGTGGCCGAGTGGCCGGAAACAAGGATGAGGCTCTGCATTCCAGAGCCAGTTAGGAGTCAACTCATCAGACTTGGTGATGGATTGGATGCGGGTCATGAGGGGCTGGGCTGAGGCAAAGGGAACAGTTGAGAGTGTTTCCACATTCCTGGCCTGGGTAATAGCAAAGAATAGAGCAAGAGGGCTAGTGGGGAGAAAGAACGAGTTAGTTCTTTTCAGATGCCTCTACTCTGTCCACGTAAAAACTGGAGCTAGAGGAGTAAACTGCAGAGCCATCAACGTCTGAAAATTAGAGTAAACCATCAGATCCCCCAAGGGGAAGGGGCGGAGGGAGAATTGCAGAGAACTCCTGGCAGGAAAGCCAGAAATATGTGGGGGAAATGTGCTCAAATGGAGAAAAAGCAAAGGCCGTGAGACCAGTCATAATTCTTTTGGGGCTGTCCAGCCAAGATACTGAGCTCACTGAGATCTAATGATGACCTCTCAAAATCTTAGAGTCCAAAAGCTCATCCTTGGGTAGATCCAGTGTGGATGTGATGCTTGGTGCTTATCTGAGTAATAACATTCAAAAGGAGGGAAATCCACAAGTACAAGTGTACAATAAAAATTCTCCTGTCCTCCCACATGAGTTCCTTCTCTCTGTGCCAACCATGGTTTCTGGAGTATCCTTTTGAACGTATCTATGCACATGCGAGACTCCTTTCTCAGGTGTCCTGCCACCGTGGCCTTCTCCCTCCCCCTCCAGCTCACCTGACTGTCTCCACTGCTGTACCACAGCCTATGATCAATTTCAGCATCTTGGCCCTTCCCTTAAGACATCTGCACAGACCTCCTCTCCCCGGGTCTAGATCCATGTGTCTTGTTCCTAGTGTCTCAGCGCTAAGACAGAATCGTTCCCACCACCCATTGGCTGACTGAGCCTTGGCGCTCCCCTGGTGCCATTTCTTCCTTGAATGACATAATGTTGCAGCCGTCAGTTCAGGGGCCAGACTTCCTTCCATAACCAGCCAATATCTATATAATTGTGTCTCTTGCACAGCCACCTCTCTAACAGAGTTCAGAGATTCATCTAACTCTAGGGAAGAATGGACCAGCCACCGTCTCCTCTCCCCACACACGAACTGCCTCCTTTCCCACAGTTCCAGGCCTAAGACAACCATCTAGTGCCCCCGGGAAAACAGTGGACTCCAGCAACTCTTCCTGCACCCATGGCCTGTCGGATCCTAGTTCATTTGGCTCAAGCCTGCCGTCCCCACTCTGTCCCTTGGGGGAGGCTCTTCACCAGACTCGGGGGCTGTTGACTAGCCCTTGGGAGAAAGAATTCCAAAAGATGATCTTGAACCAGAGCCCATGGTTTTGATGCAATTAGGGAACCATGACCCCCAGGACAGTCTTCACTGGAGGTAGGTCCTTCTGTGGGTCCCTTGGTGGGACTATGAGGAAGTCTCACACAGCGGCCCTGTTCCATCAACGATGTGGTGTGGAAATTGTAACAGGGTCTTTATGGACATTGATAAGAGTTTATTTTGAAAGAGAATACTCTTCTGTTCTTCC